TGGAGTGATTCCAGAGGCGTTTTCTTAACCGCTCAGTGCTCGTCCTGCCCGCTTCACGAGACTGTTGTGAAAGTCAGGTAAACGTGTGGGGCACTTCAGAAACAGTGTCACTCAGATCGAAGGTGACATGAAGGAGTCCTGCTGGCACAGTGGTTAAGCGCTCGGCTGCTAACCAAATGGTCAGTGGTTCGAACCCACCAGTGGCTCTGCTGGAGGAAAGACCTGGAGATCTGTTCCTGTAAAGATCACAGCCTCGGAAACCCTAAGGGACAGTTCTGTTCTGGCCTCATAGGGTTGCTAAGGGTCAGAATCAAATGGACAGCACACAACAGCAGCAGCGGGGTGAGATTGTTTCGGGGTGTTTATTCAGGCGAAGTCACGTGGGTCGTGGCATTTCCCAGCAGCAGGAGGACGACTATGGGGAAGGAGAAGATGATGCAGAGGTCCAGCAGGAATGCCTACACAAATTTTCTACCCGGGATTATATCATGGAACCCTCCATCTTTAACACGCTAAAGAGGTACGTGGGGACGCTTCTTTGTGTTGGGCAGGGAGGATGATTTAGGAAAAACTTTGTAATAGACCCAGAAGATGATATGTAAAAGTAAAAGTAATGTGATACTGGGATGGAAGGCGTCTGGGGGGTTCCCCCTTTTAAAAATCTGAAACCTGCCTGTCTTCCTCCCTGTCCATCTCGTCGGCCAGCCCCACGCTCACTCGCATTCACTGTAGTTTAATAGCTGCTCTGTTACTTTCTCTAGGTATTTTCAGGCGGGAGGGTCTCCAGAGAATGTTATCCAGCTTCTGTCGGAGAACTACACTGCTGTGGCCCAGACCGTGAACCTGCTGGCCGAGTGGCTCATCCAGACAGGTGCTGGAGGGCCTCACCCTTGCTTGTCCCCTTCCCCACTTTTTAATAGACGGTTGGATCGCTGTAATGCCGATAAATTGGGAATGCCTTTGTTTTCCTCGTGTGTGAGACTTGTATACGTAGACACTGAACTTCTTACCTGTCTTCGTCTGCTTGATTGTTATTTTGATTCAATAATTGAGGTTTACAGAGCGCCTGCAAATGTGATTCGCATTGAGCTGTTTTCCCTGCCATGTTGGAGAATTACAGGATTAGACAGTGTATGTTCAGTACGTCATTTTCGAGAGATCTATTGTGGCATGCAGTAAATGATGGATAATTCAGGACTGGGTGTGACTGTGGCTTTTAGCTAATATGATCGAAGTAGAGCCTCACTGTAAATCCACTGAGCGGGTACAGATGACATCACCGAGGCAAGGACTGCCTGGAAATGAGCCGGTTCACTGCTTTGCGAAGCTGACACGCTTACTAGATATGAGGGGGCTGCTCCTGGCTGGCCTCTCCTTGCACCCATCCTCCCACCTGCCTGTTTTGACCATTTGTCCTTAGTGAGATTTTGAAGATGGTACCATCTTTTCTGTGTAGACAAGGGTAGAACATCCTGGCTCTTATCACTGAATATAATTAATAAATATTCCCTTTTGTAAGTGCTCCAACATCCTAAACAAATGCAATCTTGTGACACTTGAGTCACATATAGAATTTTGACCGTTTTTCTGGAGTGATACGCGGAGTTGCAAGACGGCCGTTTTCCATCTCGTTGTTTATGTTTTCTCTCAGGTGTGGAGCCAGTGCAGGTTCAGGAGACGGTGGAAAATCACTTGAAGAGTTTACTCATCAAACATTTTGACCCCCGCAGAGCAGACTCTATTTTTACTGAAGAAGGCGAGGTGAGGAAGACCCTTTCTTTTTCTAGTACCAGTTCCTAGGTGTGGCGTATTATGTGGGCAGTGAACAGCATGGTACTGCCATCAGGGTGGGAGACGGAAGTTGCACATGGTCAAAGTGGCCTTCACATGTTGTAGTCAGGAAGTGAGAGGCCCGCGTGCAGGGGTGGGAAGGAGGAGCAGCAGGTTCACTGACGGACTGACTCGAGGGTACAAGCTGTGTGAGGTTCCCTCCGAGAAGCAGGTGTAAGATGGGCAAGAGATTACTGAGGAGACACCTGTGAGGGAAAGTGGGGAGGGGCTGGTGGAGGCTGGGGTTGCCGTCAGACGGCGCTGCGGGTCTGCCTCAGGAAGGCGATGGGAGGGAGGGAAGGTGGGTGGATGGGAAGAGTCTGAGACGCACTGTAGTCCTAGGAAGGGTTCAGCAGGGTGGTGGGAGTCTTCACGCCACAGCCGCCCATCACAGGACTCTACATCTCTGAGGAGTGGGCCTACCTTAGTGTTCCTGCTGTGCTTGGTCAGGCTGGGAGCTGCCCGTGGAAGCCTGGCCTTGGCAGAGTTGGGATGGTGGACTCAGAGTGCAGCTTGGGCTGTCAGTCACACAGTGCGAGGTTGAGAGATGCAGTATCATCCCTGTCACGTGCGGTGATGGGAAAACCACCTGCACTGCTTAAATTACACTTTTCTCATGGCAGGATGTGTCTGATTACCTCTGTGAACAACAGCCTCCTCTGCCATGAGACCAGAACTGGATGGTGCCTGGCTACCATTATTGAACATTTTGGTCAAAGATTCTATAGAAGATCAAGAGGGGGAAATTGTAAAACAGAATTCAAGAGTTTCATGGAATCCAGACTTTCTGGAGCCATGGGGGCTAGATGAACCGCTGAAACTGTTGCCCTGAGATAACCTTTAAACCTTAAAGCAAAAATATTCCTTGAAGTCTTCTTAAAACCAAACAGTAGTTTAGCTTAATTAGTAAAAAAACATCTGTCTTGAGCATTGTTATCTTTTAAGAACTATCTATATGGGATTAAATTGACAATAAGAACTCGAAAGATAGAAAACTTAAGGGGAATGAGTTCATGTTAATGGAGGAGGAACAGTTTGGAAAAGGAAGGTGAGAATGGTTGCACAATTTGAAAAATGTAATCAGTGGTCACAGAATTGTACCTGTAGAAACCGTCGAATGGGTGTCTGTTCTGCTGTGTATATTCGCAACAACAACAACAAAATAATTGAAAAAATAAAAAGTTACCCTTTTCTCTTTTGTCAAGGGCATACGGCTTCTCTGGGCGAGCTGTCTGTGCGTGTGGTGCGCCTCCAGTGCGCATGGGCTGTGCTGGACTCTGGAATATTCCTAGAAGCATCTCTCAGTCCCCTCTTGTGTTAGATCTTCCAAAAGCTGTGAGGGGTGTTCAGGCACTCTAGCCCTGCCACTCAGCTAACCTTGTGGCCGTAACCAGCTCTGGGGACTCGGGGGATGGAGCTAGAGGCTTACGGGGGCTCTTGCAGCTGGAATATCCACTGGTTGTTGATACCTCGTCTTCACTTCAGCAGAGTGAGGCCTCTTTCCTTACCATGTGTTTGTTGGCAGACCCCGGCGTGGCTTGAACAGATGATCGCACACACCACATGGAGAGATCTCTTCTACAAGCTGGCAGAAGCCCATCCTGACTGTCTGATGCTCAACTTCACGGTGAAGGTGGGACACGCGCTGGGGTTGGAGAAGGGACGGCAGTGTTTGTGAGCAAGGGTGATTTTTGGTTGGTTGGTGTTCTTCCCTTTGAAATATCATATCTGCATTTTGCTGATGGTCTTCATTTCTCTTTGGAAGCCTTAAAGTTGAGAAAGGCAAGGCATAGAATCGGTACCTGTGTTTTTGGCTCAGCATTGACTGTACTTTAGGATCTGGCAGGCGCATATTGAGGGAGGCAGTGGTGTTCTGAGAGGACCCTTTAAGAGTGCCAGGTCTGCTTCTCCATCTCACAGAGGAAGAAACCAAGGAGAGCAATGGCTAGCCTGGGTCACTTGTCTAGTGAGTGGGAACCAGGCTCAGAGGAAAAGCTTTGAGGCCCCTGGACCGGTCATCAGAGACACCGACGACAGGCCAGCTTTGTGTAGGCTCTGTGGTCGCTGCACATTGGCGCCGTGTCTCACTTCTTTTTGTGCCGTAGCTTATCTCTGATGCAGGATACCAAGGGGAGATCACCAGCGTATCCACGGCTTGCCAGCAGTTAGAAGTGTTTTCGAGGGTGCTCCGTACCTCTCTAGCCACAATTTTAGATGGAGGAGAAGAAAACCTGGAAAAAAATCTCCCTGAGTTTGCTGTGAGTTCTTTACCTTCTGCGCCTCACATGAGGAGGAGGCTGGTTGGGTGAAGCTCCCTGTCTAGAGACTCTCCAGGCCAGAAGGAGCCTCCCCAGAGATGCTCGCTACCATGCAGGACTGTTCAAGTGTGACCCTCTTGTATTTGCCTGTCAGTGCTGCCCCCGTGAGACCCCACACCCTCTCTCCCTGCGTTTTTCAGAAGATGGTGTGCCACGGGGAGCACACCTACCTCTTTGCCCAGGCCATGATGTCCGTGCTGGCCCAGGAGGAGCAGGGCGGCTCCGCCGTGCGCAGGATCGCCCAGGAGGTCCAGCGCTTTGCTCAGGAGAAGTAAGAGCGGCCTTTCTGCCCAGCCGCCCTTCCCTCGTAGTCCCCAAAAAGCTCCCCACTCTCCCCTGCCCACACATCTGGGGCCTTCTGTGGTGACACAGGTGACCTTCCTTCCGTCCAGTAGATCTGGGAGAGTCAGGCTGATTGTGAATCCTGTGGACAGCTTGCTTGTTTGCGTGTCGCTTTGGTGAACCTTTTGTTGGGGTGCTTGGTTCTGCAGTTCACTGGATTCAGGAATCTGCAGTTTCCTGTACTGGGATTCGTCAGTAGGAAGTAACAGTAGCCCTGTGGTAATTATTCAGTAATCTGATTGTTACTTCATGGTCCAAAGCTTACAGAACAAAATTAGCTCTTAGTAGTTTTGTTTCCTACTCCTGTCATTGTTGGGGGACGTTGAGTTGATTCCGACTCATAGCGACCCCATGTGACAGAGTAGAACTGCCCCATACGGTGTCCTAGGCTGTAATATTTATGGGAACAGATTGCCAGGTCTTTCTTCCACGGAGCCACTTGGTTGGTTTTTACCGCCAACGGTTAAGCTGGGTGTTTAACTGTTGTGCCACCAGGGCTCCTTTTTCTACTACTAATGGAGTCGCAATAAGGTATTTAAAAAGTGTGTGGCTCCTTCGATAAAGTCTGCAAGCTCCGTTTGAATCATTCTTTCCCAGTTTGCCCTGAGTGTTGTTTATGGGTCCGCTAGTCGGTATACCGGCGCGTGACAGAAACGGGAACAACACACGGGCCTCAGCCATTCAAAGCCTTGAGTACAGAGAAGAAAAGGAGAAATGTCCTGCGTTCCTAATGGTGTGTATGACTGTCTCAGGGGCCACGACGCGAGTCAGATCACGCTGGCCTTAGGCACGGCCGCTTCCTACCCCCGCGCCTGCCAGGCCTTGGGCGCCATGCTGTCCAAAGGCGCCCTGAACCCTGCCGACATCACCGTCCTGTTCAAGATGTTCACGAGCATGGACCCGCCTCCTGTGGAGCTAGTAAGTTGTGTCTCTCTCTCCTTTTACTGTGGTGAGCATATGAGTGAGAGAGCATTTGCCACTTCTGCAGTCTTCACGCGCTCTGTGCGGTGACATCACTTACACCCATCATGTTGTTCAGCCGTCACCGTGAACCGCTCCCGGATTCTTCCATCACCCTTAACAGAAGCTCACTGTCCCCTAAGCATCGTGTCTTCCTTTCCCCCGAGTTGCTCCTCATTTGAATAAGTACTAACAGTTATTGTTCTCGTTGGGAGGCTTGCTTTGGAACATCCATGTTCCTCTAAGTCACCAAGTGCATTCCTGCTGAAGGGCGTGCGGACTCGCCAGCCGTCTCCGTCCTGGGTCCCTTTAAAGGAGTTGCTCTGTCTCCGCAGATCCGGGTGCCGGCCTTCCTGGACCTGTTCATGCAGTCACTCTTCAAACCTGGGGCCAGGATCAACCAGGACCACAAGCACAAGTACATCCACATCGTGGCCTACGCGGCGAGTGTGGTGGAGGCCTGGAAGAAGGTACTGCCAGGGAGATGGACGTCCTGCTCCGCTTTTGGGGGCACCGGGCATGGGGCTGCAGGAGAGCTCCAGCTGGGCTAGTGTGCATAGAACAGTCACAGTGCTGAACAGCTCAAGGAACGTGTGTGCAGTATCTCTGATACTTGTGCAAACTCTCATGTGAAGTGTGACTAAAGAAATGAAACCGATTTCCATAAGCCACAGCCAAACACCAGTCTTACTGGGTTTTCGTTCCTGTACCTTGTGGGACTGTGACATTTGACAGTTACGTTGACTCTGAGCATCAGAGATAGGGAGGTGGGTTTGCAGAGAGAGGGGGCCAACCCCCCATGACCCCAGACGGCAGGGAGTCGGCCCCGCCTGGGGTTGTCGATGTGTGTGTTTCAGAACAAGCGAGTCAGCATCAACAAAGATGAGCTGAAGTCAACGTCGAAGGCTGTCGAAACTGTTCACAACTTGTGTTGCAACGAGAACAAAGGGGCCTCTGAGCTGGTGGCAGAGCTGAGCACACTTTATCAGTGTATCCGGTGAGCAGGGGACACCTGCCTCTCAACTTCATCCTTTGGGGAGGAAGTGGCTTGAATTTTTATAGTGAAAGCTCAAAAAAAGGCCTAATAAGAGGTACCTACTCCTTCTACTTTGTTTTTACGTTTCCAAAGTACGTAGAGAACTTTAAATGGTTTTAGCAGCATGAGTAGTTTCCAGGTGTTTACTTGGCTGGAAGAACGTTTTGTAAATCCTCACAGATTGGACCAAGTAAAAGGAAGACCAGCCAGAGTTATGAAAATTGATTTGAAGAAAGAGGATTGTTTATCGTAAAAGTTAGACCAGCAGAGCACTGCTGAGCTGGGAACTTGTGATGCTGTCAGTCATGTCTCTAGGTGTTCCCCAGAAACGCTGAGGTGCGTCCTCTCAGGTACCTGAACCTTCCTCCCGTTCATTCATACCGGGGACCAAGAAAACCAAGGTCCACTTCAGCCCAGCCCGCCGGGCCGCTGTTTTGTGTTAATGATCTGTTCCTTTTAAGCCAGTGAAGTGGTTTCAGGTGAACAGAGAACTGAATTCAGGTTCTTGCATCGCAGGGTTGAGAGGACGCTAATGCCATTTGACTGTTCCCTAGTCAGCTTCCCACTGGAAAGGCAGAGTGAGGAGGGAACGGTCGGAGCAGTTTGGGGGTGGTGTTTGCTGTACCCTCCCTGCCCTTAGTGCTTTTCTAGCGTAGATGGTGTGTGTTTTTAAGTGCTTGTTTAAAGGAAGCATTCTGCCTGGTTCCCTGTAGGTTTCCAGTGGTGGCAATGGGTGTCCTGAAGTGGGTGGATTGGACTGTATCAGAACCACGGTACTTTCAGCTGCAGACTGACCACACCCCAGTCCACCTGGCGTTACTGGATGAGGTAGGGGCGGTGGACGGGCACCCCCAGTGCCGGCGCGTCTGTGCTCTGCTCTGTAACCTGGTCCTGCAGTGCAGTGATTCCATGACTCAGAAGGTGACCTCTGCAAAGCCAGTCCTTTCCAGCCTATGAGGATTGTCCTCTTGAGGAGCTAGTTTCATGGAGTCTGTGGGCGTCTCGGTGTTTACTGAGTGTTTACTGGAAGGCTGAGCAATGGCCTGGAGGCTGACCGGTCCTGGGCTGGGGTGGCGGGGCCGTCCTCCTCAGCAGTGCTGGCGGTAACAGTGACAGCTGCTCTCTGCGCTGAGGGAGCATGAGCCCGCAGCGGGGCCAGCTGCTCAGTGAGGCTCCCGGCCTGTTTGTAGATCAGCACCTGCCACCAGCTCCTGCACCCCCAGGTCCTGCAGCTGCTGGTCAAGCTCTTTGAGACCGAGCACTCGCAGCTGGACGTGATGGAGCAGGCGAGCCGGTGACCCCGGGGCGTGTGGTGGGGGCGGGGACGGGAGGTGGGGTCCCCTGCTGACAGGCTCCCCTGCTCCCGCCTGTAGCTGGAGTTGAAGAAGACCCTGCTGGACAGGATGGTTCACCTGCTGAGCCGCGGTTATGTACTTCCTGTGGTCAGCTACATCCGGAAGTGCCTGGAGAAGCTGGACACTGACATTTCCCTCATTCGCTACTTCGTCACTGAGGTCAGCCGCGCACTGTCTGTCGCACGTCTCGTGCCGCTTACCCTCGCGCTGCCCTGGAGGCACGAGTTTGCCCGTTTCGTGTCTGGCTGAGGGTTGTGCTTTCTGATAACCATGGGGACGACAGTGAACCCCTGCACCCAGCACCCCACCTGCCTGGAGCTGTAGCGCCTGCTTTCGCCTACACTGCCCCCCGGGCGTCTTACTGCTCGAGGCTGGCACTGCCGCCGGGAAAGGCAGAGGAGGGGGCGGGTGGTTTCCTCCCGCTGGCTGCCATTTCCTCAGCTGGGCTGTGCGCCGCCCGCGCGCGCCGCTGACGAGAAGAGCTGGCCGGCTTTCCCTCCCAGGTGCTGGATGTCATCGCCCCCCCGTACACCTCTGACTTCGTGCAGCTCTTCCTCCCCATCCTGGAAAACGACAGCATCGCAGGCACCATTAAAACGGAAGGCGAGCATGACCCCGTCACGGAATTCATCGGTAGGGCGGCCGTGAACCTGCCTTCGCCGCAGTGCAAGATACTGCCCGTGTCCACCCTGTTTCTAACCCGGTGACCGTTTCCCGTTACAGCTCACTGCAAATCTAACTTCATCATGGTGAACTGACGTAGGCCAGCCTCCAGAGCTGAAGCAGAACCTTCCAGAACAGCTGTGGAAAAACCCTTTCGAGAAACTTGTTTGAAGAGGCTCCGTCGGCCCCTTGGAAGTGGACCCTGGTGGGAGGGGAGAGATACTCGGCAGCGCCCGCGGGAACGGCTGTCGGGGATGCCGCCCCTTCACCCTGTCAGCAGTGGCATTTCGCTGGGGTGCTGGGTCCTCGTTCCTCTCGGGGTGACTCCATTCTCCGGCCCGGGTGGAAGGAATTCAAAAACAGAGACTAATTGCTTCACTGGTAAGAACAGGTGTCAGAATGAACTGCCTTCAAAGCTGACTTTTAAGTTTTCTCAAAAGAAGCAGATTAGTGAATTGATATTTTATTGAAATTGCTGTTGGTAAATTAAAGCAAATTAAAAAAAAAATAAAGTCTTTTTGCTGGGTTGAAAGGTATCGAGTCCGCTGTTCTGTTGTGCTCATGTGTAAATAAGGCACACTCAGGCTCAGTGCTTATGTGGGGTCTTGTATTTTATTCGTCACTTGGGCAATTAGAAATCACTGCTACCCCTCTCCCCAATGATTCCAAGGCGACAGAAGAACTGGTGACAAATCTGAATTACTTTACCATGTAAATGCCATGTTGGAGACCACAGCTGCCAGAGAGGAAATGCAGAGCCATCTGCGGGCCCGTCCACACGTCAGGGCGGCCGCTAACCCTCTGCAGGGGTTAAGTCCTGCTGCTTGAGACCCCCAGGGACGCTCTGTCACCCCGCCGGGTGCTGTCCTCACTCAGTGTCATTACGGCTGATACTCTGTCACCCCAGTTCCTTCACACCAGGCAGCCCCAACCTGGTGTGCACACAGTAGGTCCCCCCTTCCCGGTTAATTCATGATCCTGTTCCTCAACCAGCTGCTCTTCCAGAGCCACCTTAAACAATGGGGTCCCCGAAAGTGCAGGACTTCTCCACGGCAAGGTTGTAGCTGTCACCCTTCCCGCCTTTGTAGGTGCTGGTGACAATCCGCATCCAGCCTCTCTCGCCCTGTGAGGAACAGCGGGGTCATCGGTCACCTCCCCACCCCCCCAAACCCCCCTTCCGCTCCTGACATAGGTGGATGTTTCTGTTTGCCTCCATCACGCGGATCCGAACCACCTACTCAGCTGCCCCTTCAACCTTTCCCATGACCCCAAGCCAGAAATACCTGTGAAATATTTCACTTGGCTAATATTTAACAGGAGGGGTACATGGTCCTGGATGCCAAAAGCTAATTAATGTGACAAAACCTGGTGATTTTTTCAGACGAGATGACTTACCTACCTGTTGACACCCCACTCCTAGTCCCCTAACGCACATCTCCCACGTCCGTCACTCCCCGTGCACGTGTCTGTCCAGCACTGTTAACCGCTAAGGCCAGGGCTTAGACAGTCCGCTCTGACAGCTAGTTACCTCCCCTGGGCGTCTGACCCAACTCGGAAGGCTTTTTGAAAAAACTACATAACGTGACAGCAAAAAGAATGAGTGGTTGTAAAAGAATAAACGAGACAGACACCCCTAAAGCTGTGGTTCTCGTTCAGGGGCCGTTTTGCCCCCCAGGAGGACATCCGGCAAAGTCTGTAAACGTTTCTGGTGTCATGGTGGGGAGTGAGGTGGCGGCGGGGCACGAGGACTACTGACACCCAGCAGTAGAGGCCTG